GAACTGTATACTGCTACCATTGTCAGGTTCCGTTGCGAACAAGTCTTCGAAATTACTTGCCGTAGAATGAGAAACAAATCATTCAAGAATAAAAGGTCTCCCGAGTGGGCATCTATGAGTACCTCGTGCCAGGTCCCAGCATCGTCGTTCTGGACTTGAATTACGTGGACAAGTGCCAAATGGCCATCGGGCTTCATCAAATATTCCAACGTGGGTGGGTGGCCATTGTGTGTACCGACCGCGTGTTGCTCAGCCAGTGGAATGGCAGCGGTGATGCCGATCGCCGGAATATTGGATGCCACAGAATCTGAGAAATCAATGAGAAGTGGGAGAGATCGAACGACGAGGCGCCAACCAGACTTGTGAAATGAGTGCCCAAATGCTACAACGCGGTCGTTCTTCCAAGCAATATTTGCCACGGCAAAGGCGATGGGAATGTCGTTCTGCGGGCAGATATATATCAGGGTGAATACATTCATTCATACTGCAAGAGCTGCTCACATGTGTCTGCTGGACATACGCATATGTCATATCACCCTTCTCGTACCCACTCGTGTATTTGAGCCCAGAATCCGGGGAGATGTCCCTCAGTACTCGTTTCGCATGCGCAATTGCAGCACCCTCCATTCCTGTGCTGAGCGAAGCTTCGGCAACAGGAGGCAATCCTTCTGCGTAAGCCTGATAACATTCAGTAGTAATTCAGACCTGTACCCGATGGAGAAATACTTCGTAGGTGGTCAGGACATTCGGGGTTCTGAGGGTTCGGGCATCAATCGTCTGGTTAGAGTCGGAGGTCGCCATCTGAACAGAAAATATGTTGGGGGAGGAAGTCAAAGTGCCGTGCTTTTAAAAGCTGTGACGCTTCAACGTCGGAAATAGAACTTCTTCGAGATGGGCCTTATGACTTCCGACAATAGCGACTTTCACGACATATTAGACGCCTGAGCTAGGCCATGTTTCCGAAAATGACCGCGACGAGTACATGCACGAGGCAGCGTGTGACTACAGGTGGTCAATGAAGGTCTAGTTCATAGATAGGTGAGGTTCTATCAGAAGACAATCAAGGGACTTACAGTAGTTCAGTGGCACACAGAATGTGATGAACTATGTTCTAGCGCTCGCGCCAAATGTCGAACGCGCGTTCGGGGAAGCATGAGGTGTATCTCGGCATGAAGCGAGAAATAAATAACAGATCTTGCGTCGATTCGGTTTGGGAGGGTTACCATGCTCAAAGTGGGGGAAATCAGCTCAGAAAAAGAGCTCTCCAATTCCTGTCCTCGCCCCACCATTATTTATTTCGAATGCTGCCTAAAGTATCTGAGCCCTGGATACTTTGCCGTAGGCGTACAATATCTATTAACGAAAGCGTTAGTGTTCCATCGATTACAGAAGACAATTATGGAACTTGCAGCAATTCAGTTTTATGGCACACGGAATGGTACGAACAAGCGCTGGCGCCAAATGACCCTGATTTGAACGCGCGGTTCTCACGGATCTATAGTGCGTCTCGACATGAGGCGGCGTCAAATCGTTTTGGGGTGCCTGTTCAAAGTGGGCGAAATCAGGTTATAACTAAGGCGCACGTTTGGTGCAGTGGAAATGTTGGGCCTTTGGACCTGTCCAAAATGGAGGAAAATTAGTTCTGGGAATACAGGAACTTGGTGCAACAGAAATACCCTCACAAGTTATCGATTTCCGACCATGTCGTAGTCTCCCGCAGGCAGACTCCACAATTTTCATGATAGTCGATAAAACTTTATATATAAACATGTCGTCAATCACATTTAAACTTAAGCTTGAGTCAGCAGGGGAAAGTCCTGTTAGTAATACCGTATACTTGACTGCGGTATATATGGAAGATGTGAAGAATACCACAAATCAACCGAGCTCGAATCGAACAAGTATATTTCCTCGGGAGGACTACGAATCAGATATAGCAGATGCGGACCATCCGGTACTACCGAGTCGTTCCTGAGATAAGTTGATCTGGGCGATGCATGCAGCATGTAGTCGTCCCCTTCAGTCAAGCTAGCTTTGCTACTAAATCTGCGAGTCAACTTAAATGAGGCTACGCATTAGATATGTGACGCACCTCAGGAGGCCAGGGGTTCTGCTCGTGCAAAATTCCACAGCAACAAGTTCTGCGAGCATAACTCGCGTATCCGCGCGATTACGCCGGGCTCGAGGTTGCGACGACACCCTCGCAGCCCAGACACATCAACCTCAAAGCCTGAGACCGATTCGTCCTGCCGATGTGACACACGCGAGAGGAGGAAGCTGAGGAAGATGTTGTCTCAAATTGTAGCCGTGACCGGCGAAAGACGAGGTGCCGGAGATGAGGAAGGAGGGCCTGGAGATCTGGTTGCCTTGTGAGGCTCGAGAGAAGGGAATTCTTGATGATAGGTTCCACGCCGTCCCGATGGTCATCCGAAATTTCCAGCCGCTGCAGCGAAGGCAGAGCGGATAAACATTCAGCGAGCTCAGCCGCCCCGATGGAGAAATCGGATATATTGAGAGATCGAAGATGGGTATGGAACGAGGAGCGCGAAGCAACGGCGAGGAAATCGGCATGTGGCCAGGGTAAAGGCGAGAAGTAATCCGAGCGGATTGTTAAATTCTCGAGACAGGGCAACGTCAGGTTGGTGAGAATGTCGGTGACATCCGGGGCGCAGCTGGGCTGAGGGAACTCGATCGAAAGAGTTCCGACGTTGGACAACGTCGGGGTTAGATACGGAATACGACGCTGGGAACCGCTCCAGACAAGTTGAAGTGCAAGGCGACATGTCGTCCCAGGGGATAAATCCGCCATTGACGATAGGGCTGAAGTCACTTTGGGTAACGTGACGCCGACGTATTCCAAAGTCTGCAGTTGCTGGAGATGAGGTCTGGCTAATCTAAGCAGTGACTCAGAAACGACCAGGCGCTTCAACTTCGGCGCTACATGGAATAGATCCCTCGTGACTGGTGCCGCCATCTGAATTTCGTGCAGCTCGAGGCTCTCCAACAAGGGGAATCTTCCTTTGGATAAACGTTCTAGCCTAGAAAGCTGCCCGTGAAGGAAGCAGTGTTCCACCGCACCGAGTGCTTCACGAGCAAGTCGACTGCTTTGGTGGAAGCAGTACCTCGAGGTGGCAACACCACTCGGAGGGCCGACCCAGCGCCCCGCTCTATCACAGTCTTGAGCAGGGCGTCATCTTTTCAGGATGGAGATCTTCCCAGACACCTTGGGAAAATCGATCGTGCTCCAGAGCGAGGCGGTACCCATCACGATGTTGTGCCACCTGGCACACACCGGGACACTGCAAAGAGAGGGGCATGGGCGTAACGATGCTTTTCCCTATCCGCCCATAGAGCAACGGTGGGAGGGAAAGGTTTCGAACATATCTGGAATATCGCTAGAAGAATCTCGACAGGGAGGCGTCTGACTAGTGACCGCAGGCTCAGCCCTTGACAGTCATCGTAATATGCTTGCAGAGCCGCACGCTCAGCAAGCAGAGCGGCGTGCTCGGACTCCACCGCGCTGAGAACGGCTCGAAGTCGGGCGATTTCTTTATCGTACCGCGCACGCTCGTTGTCGTATCGAGTGAGCTCGGCAGACAGCTCAGAAATGGTGGATGGGAGGTGCTCTGGGGGCTCGGCGTGCGCACGCAGAAGATCGCGAATGTGGGTTGCTTTGTTTGAAGGGAGAAGAATCGTCGGAGTGAAGCTTTTGAACTCGCAGGAATTGACCATGCCGGGAAACGAGGGTGAGAGCAAGATGGTGAAGAGCGATGCATCAACGCATCAGCAAACAATCGGCGTGCGGCCCGCAATTCCGCCTCTTGCTTTGGATCCACCATTGCCGCCATTTTTCTGTTCTTCTTCGTCCTCAAACATTGCTACATCAGAACTCCAGTCTTAACAGCTCTCAAATCCCCACCACCCACATACCCGTCGCGTCCTCACACGCGTCCCTACGCCGCTAGCGTCTAGGTATGGTGCAGGTCTTGATAAGCAAGCTACTTTGATGGATTTTGGCAGCGCACTTGGGCAACCTACGGTTCGCGATTATTATCTGAGCAATCCCTTTCCTTCTCATCTACCTCAATTCGTCGGTAGGTATAGCACTCTTATGCCTCCGCACTCGTGGCGTACAGCGCACGCCCGCTTTCCCTTTGCGGTGTCCAAATAAACAACGAAGTGGGTTTGGTACGAGACTAGTAGTCTCGTACCAAACCCACATGACATCCCAATTTGGGAACCGTGTCATGAAGGTCTAGGCACAAGCCAACCACTTAGCCGGACCATTGCGCTATCAAATTTTGATGGCTTTACGCTCCCTTCCCTCTGTTTTGTTCGGTCTGTAGCTGACACTCCATGATCAGAACTGGGGCATTCAAGAAATCGACGGCCAAAGACGCTACGCGCGCAACGTCAAGTTCACCGGGCCCAAGCCTGGTGAGGACATCGAAGCGCTTCTCGTATATGATTATTGTACGTCTTTTCATCTCGGTTCTCCCAGTGAATAGGAATCAACTCAATTGCGTGCAGTGGGTCCGGTCTAAGCGCTGCGGTCTGCTAGTGTAATTCAAGTATAAAATGAAGTGTGTATTCCAGAAAGAAGCAAGCCATTCTGTAAGTATTTCGGTTCGCGACAATTCTATGCCCTCGTTATCGATCATTGGCTTAGTATTAACTGGTGAGCCGTTTCTTGAGTGGAGAATTCCTCGTCGTCGGGAATGCTGGCTGCTGCCTCGCAGAATCTTCTAGGCCTCCAACCCAGTGAGCAATTTTATCGATGGCTCTGCAAACACTCTGTATCGTTCTCTTCCTCCGACTCCACTGCGGATTTTGAAATTTTATCTTGTGGGGGTGCGGAATTCAACACGCTTAACGCAGGCTCAACCGCAGAAACCTCAGTGGACCAACGCTGCAGCCCACCCCGCAGAACAGAGGAAATGGTGTGATGGTATATGGTGAAAAACTAACATACTTACCCCACTGAAGTATATAATAATACCTCGGACGTTGTGCATGGTGCACGCCCGCCTGCCGTATGTTGTCTCTCCTGCGCAACGCATGAAGCGGGAGCAGCGGGTTCGATTCCCGGCGTCCGGATAAATAAGGTAGGTGCCCTTTTTTTTTTTTTTTTCGTTACGTGTTCGTTGTCTATTTCCGTTCCTTGCACGGTGTCTTTGCCTTCCACATGCATCCTCCTGTACGGATCTATCTCTGTTTTGCAGATATTTGGGTATTCCGTTTAAATTTCGGACAAGGATTGAGAGGCAGCAGGGCTAAGGTACGCTGTCCCTCTCTTGTCTTCCGATCTGCTGCATTTGGCTCGCACTAATGCTATCTTCTCAGCCGCGCAATCTCCCTGGTCCCCGGGAAGGTACGCTTTCCGAGCTCTTATACTTATAATATTGAGAGACAGGCAGAAGAACTTGAATGTAGTGTACAGTGCACTCCCGCTTTCGCTTGCCGCTGCGTCGTATGGTAAGGCGGGAGGACAGGGGTCGATTCCCGGTGTCCGAATGAACCTGTTCAAGGCAGTCTTTTTATTTTTGTCTGGAACTCTCCGCTGGGTCCTTCATTTTGCTGTCCGGTTTTCCCAGCTCCATCCTCCTGCGCTGATCTATCCCTTGTTTTTGCGCGACTTTTTGGAGTATTCCATAAAATTTTCAGACGGTTGAAGGTGGCTCAGGCAGCAGGTACACCGTCTTTTCTTCTCTTCCGATCCGCTATATTTAGATCCTCAGCCGTGAATCTCCCTCCTCCCTAACAAGGTCCGCTTTACGAGCTCTCGTACCTATTCCATCGAGGGATAGGCAGAACAACTCGGATGTGGTGCATGCTGCACTCCCGCTTTCGCTGGCTGAAAGTTGAGGTAGATTAAGGCGGGAGGACTGGGTTCGATCCCCGGCGTCCGAATGCGCAGCCAACGCAGTCTTTTTATTTTTGTCTGGAAATCCGCTGTGTGCTTCATTTTTGCTGTCCAGATTTTTACGTTGCACTCAGACGCAGTTCAACCACGAATTCGTTCGCATAGAAAAGACGGGAATTGTATTTCATGCCGATTTTCACGAGCTTTCCCGACCCATGGATTCTGTGGGGGCATTTTGGATTCAATCCTCGTGTTCACGCTTTTTGACTGTCTCCAGCCACCGAGTATTCAACCTGTGCACCCCTGTTGCCAGCGCAGAAACCACCAGAGGTACGAAATTAAACTCGTGCACAGCCAAAGCCCGTAACTCGGACGTTGTTACGGCGCACCCCCGCTTTCGCTTCGAGATTTGGTTGGAATCAAGGCGGGAGGACCGGGATCGACTCCCGGCGTCCGAATAAGTAGTTTGAATCTTTCTATAGCTTCTTTTGTCCCATTTCATTCCCGGGTTTATATCAGAGCGCGTTGTCCCGTTGAGGCTTGTTGTAATTCGAAGTCAACCACTTCTTTGAGCTGGAGCGACAGTAAGTAGCTGGCTGGAACACTCTTATTTCCTGGTATTTTGAAAGGGATAACACCTCGGACGTGGTGTATGGTACACACTCGCTTTTCGTAGAATTGATTCCACCGACCTGGAGCGAGATTCCGGGTTCGATTCCCGACATCCGAATAAAATAGGACTGCGCGACCTTTTTGTAAAGCATCCCAGAAATTGGTACTCCTTGACCTGATGAATATTCTCTACTCTCAGAAATGCAGCCACCGATGCTCGCGCTAGCCGGGAATACTCGGAGGGCCTCGGAACAGCCAGAGGCGCCCGAAAAGAAGTTGCCCATCAATGATAGCTTTGAGGGTCCTTACTGGACAAATCTCAGATTTATGCAATGCAGTGGCCCGTTTTCTCGAGATATTTGAAGAAATGTGGAGAAATTGCAAGAAGAGATGCAATTTCTCACATCTTGCAAGATCTTTCAAGATCTTCAAAGATCTCGCGAGCTCTTGCAAGCGAAGCATAATTTGATCTGTTTGATCTCGTTTTTGGGGCGCATTTGTGGAGAAGATCTTGAAAGATGTTAGATGAAAATTGAGTTGTCGAACAAACCTGCCATGCATTGCAAATATTGAGGTCTTCAAAGATCTTTCAACTGATCGCACCGGCCGGCCGACGGACATCAAGCGCATTGATGTCTGGATCAGCCATCGAGCCGATGTTGATGGTATCAATCCAGAGTTAAACTTGAACTTTGGACCTTCCTACTGGTCCTCGCAGACATAAACCGGCAGAATTTGGAGTGCCCGAGTCCAAGTGTCTTACAACTCAGTCACGGGAGAATATTGCCTGTAATCGAGCGTCCTATATAACCAAAATGGCGAGCGAGTGCTGCATTCCATTTGTGTGCTCAAGTTTACTAATTCTGTCGTTGGCATTTTACCATTGTGGGGAGTTTGTGTTAGCTCGGGCCAAATTTCAAGAAAGGAAATGCATGGAGAAGCCTTCCGCAAAGCATTGAAATTTCGCAGATTGTGTCGACCGTACAGTTTGCAGACCTCAAGTCGCATGCTCTGGTGCAACGGAGGGATGCTCCCTCTGGCAGTCAAGATCGTGATTATACAACCATCGAGGCGTGTCTGACTTGTGGGTTCCACGGCATCAGAATAACTGATCCCTCAAGGTCCCACCAGTATCGTGCCAGTGCCCATCATTTTTATACATACTGGGTCATAAGTGTGATGGATATTACCTAGTCTAGTTTGCCAATGCATAGCCTTAACCTACGCAAACTCGAAGCGTGTTTCGTGTAAGTAGCATTTTGACCTGAGACGCGTCTTCTTGATCTGCGACGCGTCGCGTCTCTGCCGTGCCGCTGCATAGCCTACATTGCCTGTAGTGTCTTTAGAGTTTCAAGATATACAGCCTGGGCAGTTCTACGTATACAAAGAGGAGTCTCCCCTCTTGTGGAGACAATAGGGTTATTCACAGTAGCCTTTTTGATGTCCTTTTTTGCCCCCTTTTTTGCTCCCTTTTTTCTGCCCTTTTTCTTGTTTGGCAGATAAATGTAACTGAGTGACCTATAAAATCCAGAAAATTCACCCGAGTCCTTTTTGAAACCTGAGGTGCTGTGTGACCTTTAAGGAACCATATGCGCACCCAGACTGCATGAAATGGATAAAGGGAGCCAAAAAGGGACGAAAAAGGGAGCTGAAACACTTCCAAGGCCCTCACCATGATAATTTTGGATGCGAAATGTGTTAGATTTGTATTCTCAAGACATTTGCCTCTTCAGAAGGGGTGATCTTGTTTATATTGGAGCTGGGACAAAAAGGCTGCTTGGTAAGCAGCCGAGCCACCAAAACTCGGCATCTTTGTTTCTGGTGTTTGTTCCTGAGACTTCGCAGTAGACACAAATTGGATCCCTGAAGTTGAATCTTGCACCAAATTGTGGAAAGTCACCTCCTGAAAGCCCTCTCGATATCCGCAATTTTTGATTATATGATAACTTTGACCTCCGATCGCGGATCAAGGGTAATTGACAGACTACCACAAAGAGGTACAAGCTCAAAAACTGTTGTAGCGTCTGTTTATAAGAGACTACCTACTCACACCAATCCACACCATTGTGAATTAACAGAAAAGCAATTGATCTACGTGAGTTCTGCCTCAGGCTATCTCTGGCTACCTCGGTCTACCCTCTGTCTACATTGGTGGACTCAGGTAGATAGATATGGCAAACCTCAACGCACTATGTCTACGGGGTGTAGACATACGTAGTCAAACGGGCTTTTCTACTCCTCTGTCTATGCCGGTAGCCAGACGCTCTGTCTATCAGTGAAGGAAGTCCGACCGCCGCAGACAGTTGAAATCCATTATTGTGTCGACTTGAACATCTCCGAGATGCCCGAGATCAAGTTTAGACCATGTAAAAATGGTCGTGAGATCGTGAATTGAAAGTCAGAAGTACATTAATTACAGACCCCTTCCAGAAGTTGCCATTTTATGTGGTAATCTTCATGTTTCTTCATGCCCCATTGCATTCAAACCAATTTCTGTCTTGAGGATTTGATTTCGTGGGCATGGTGCTTGGTCGGTGGATATCTTAGAATTCGCTCTAACAGAGCATCTCTGTTTGAATTAGTCGGGTCAGAGGTTTGGGGTTCGGGTTATGGAAGGGTGGGAGAAGATATGCTCAGTGTCAGACTGTCTGTCAGTCAAGGTACGCAATTTTCAGCAAGAATCAATAGATGTCTTACTATGCCCCACAAAGGTTCACTCTAGACATGACTAGATATGGTGGGGACTGGTCTAGATGTGTGGAGACGGGTTGGGGACGAGTTGGCACAAAATCATGACTTTTGATTCCCTTGATGTGCATTGGCTCGGATTGTTCCGATCGGAGGGTTGTTGATGCGCCCGGGGCGCTCGCCGGAGCAGGCCGCAGAGGGAAAAATGTCTCATCCAAGATCTTGCAAGATGTCGGTGAAAACCAAGACTGAAAAATTCTACTTTAATTCTTGGGAGATATTGAAAGATCTCCGGAGATCTTGCAAGAACGTTAATCGATGAGATCTCCAAAGATCTTCAAAGATGTCATGCAATGCAACAATGAAGAAAAGTCAGATCTTTGAAGAACTTCCAAGATCTTGAAAGATCTCGCAAAAGTGGCAAAATCTTGAAAGATCTTGACAGAAATTGAAAGATCTTGCAAGATCTCGTTCAAATCGCCGACGACAATGAGAAAAAAATCCTTTTGTCCAGTAAGGACCTTCATAGATAGCGCTCTCCACTGGCACTCGTCCTTGTCCTCGACTACTCTGGGAAGCCCGGATCGAACCTTCAACGAGCAAACGATAAGGCCCAAAGGCCTGAGACCATCACGGAATGGAGTTTAGACAAAATTTGCAGTCTTGGAGCGCACGTTGATGACTCACGAATCACGACGGCCTAGAAGGGTGACACCATCGACCTCACTGCCTGGGCATAGACCCCTTCGCCCCGCTCAGCGCCGCACGCAGCGCTTTACGCAGACCGCGCAGAAGGTATCGCTCCACCTATCATGGGGACGGGCATGATGCCCGTCCCTGCGCCTATGGAACGCTCGCGCAGTGGCCCGCACGCCCGCGGACCACACCACCGCGGGGAGACGTCTACGGCACACAACAACTGCCCCCCCCTCCCTGCCTTCCCGCCACCACCACCGCCACAACAACAATCATTCTACCCCGCCCAGCCCCAGCCCCAGCCCGGCTTCTACCCCACTCCAGGCGCCGTATACTACTCCATCGCGCCCCCGGCCAATACGCAATACGCACCCCAACCGCAGACGCTCGCGCTCGTCCTCGTACGCACTCCCTCCGGCCCCAATGCCGATACCGAGGCCGCAACCGGGCCAGCCAGTACGCACGCGCAGCTACTCTTTCCAAGCCCCTTTGTGCAGCCGCAGCCCGTGCGCGCAAGCACGTATCCGTATCCCGCGCCCGCCCCGAGGTCGGGGCAGAAGGGTATGTCCACCACCCAGCGCCCGCACCGGGCTGCGCGCCTGCGCGGCAGATGCAGATGCATCCTGCACTGTTTAATCAACCACAGAGGATCCCGACGAAGGAGGTGCCGTTGCTTAAAAGGGTGTTTGGATTTGGGCTTGGTGGGAGTGGGAGGAAGAGGGAGACGAGTTCGAGTCGGGATGCGAGTGGGAGTGGGAGGGAGAGCAGGGATACTAATGGGAGGGAAAGCAGGGGGAGCGGGAGCAGGGATGGGAAGGGACGGAGTTTGAGTCGGGGGAGGTCGTATTGAGGTACGCTGCTCATCGTCGTGTTGGAATGGTGCCACCCACCCATTCCCGCCACATCCGCGCATCCTATCCCCGCTCCCTGCCCCCGCCTCCGCATCCTCACATCCCACATCGTACATAGACACCGTATAATTCCGCCATACATACCTATCTACCTCCACGGACGCGTATACCTCTAGTACTTCAACCCTCAACAATTGTATCTTGTATCATTGATTCATCCATTCATATCTCCTTGGCTTCGTTATACGGTATAGATTTGTCGTGCGTGAGATGAAGATGAGATTCAACTTGTTGAATTAATTCAGAACTAGGTCGGGCGTCGAAATTAACATTTATGTGTCGATAGCAGCCCAGGGGCACAGTTGCACAGGTATCCAACCAGGGACTCGAGAGCTGGAGGACACATCGGACGTGGTGCATGGTGCACGCCCGCACGCAATATATGATTGGGTTGAGTGAATAAAGCGGAAGAGCTGGGTTCGACTCCCGGCGTCCGAATATCAGAGATGATTGGAAATTTTTTGTTTCGTTCTCCCTCCCTCTTCATCTATTCTATGTCTACATATCTCTCCATCTAAACGTTTTATCCAGACCCGCCCGGCTTCGGGCCTTGGCAACTCGTTCAACTTCCAGAAAATATGGCTATAAATTGTAAGTGGTACGTTCTCGATAGTCTGAAAGTCTCATACTTAATTTGCTGAAGAATAGGTAAAGGAACTCGGATGTGGTGCACAGCGCACACCTGCCTTCCTTTGTGACTCGACCTGCACTATGAAGCGGTTGCACCGGGTTCGACTCCCGGCATCCGAATATCCAGGGTACCACCCAATCCTTTTTATTTTCCTTTTGTCCAACCCCTCTTCCCTCTTCTTGAACTTTTATTGACCCTCGGTCAGCAGGGCATGTACTCATTTTATTTGAAGTCGTGCTTGAACGATCGAGGTCTCCCGGGAATATTGACCGAGTTCAGTCACCAAAAGCAGAGGTGTACACTGTGAGAGGTACGTTCTTAAAAGTTCGTTATTTACCCAGCGGATGAATAGGTCAAGTAACTCGGATGTGGTGCATGGTGCACTCCTGCTGGTCATGGAAAAGTTTTGTGTGGGCATGAGGCGGGAGCACCGGGTTCGACTCCCGGCGTCCGAATTCCATCATATAAATTTATTTTTTCTCATAAAAAGGAAAAGAAAACGAACGATCAGTTCAACCTTGTCGCTTGTTTCAAAGCACTCGTTCTCCGTATTCTCACCCGTCATCCTAAGGCAATTATCTCGTCGCTCGGAGATGCAGAGATGTGTTCAATTGGTCCCAGCTGATATTTGAGGGTCAGCCGCGGCGCTGTTCGCGAGGTGATCCAAGGGTTGATAATTGATTGCTTTTCAAATCTTGCCTACGAATTCAACCACAAATAACTCGGACATGGTGCATGGTGCATGCCCTTTATGCCTTGAGAAGAAATCCGGTTGACAGGACGGGAGCCCAGGGTTCAATTCCCAGCGTCTGAACTATAGCTTTGTGGATTGGGCGTTTTTTGCCAGGTCGAGGGCCACACCACTCAGAGATACTGATACGGTGCGTACATGGCAGACACTGAGAGGAAGTTGGATTCAAGATCTTAAAACAGTTGGTTCCCCGTGCCTACTCATACTTATACTCATGCGGAAAAGCCGCCTAGGTATTCAAGCATTTAAGATGAATGATAATTCGGACGTGGTGCGAGGTGTACAGGCGCTCGCAATGCTTGGTTTACTATGATGAATAAAGTGGGAGACCTGGGTTCGACTCCCAGCGTCCGAACTGTCGTTTCGGGTACTACTTTTTTTTTTAAATAAAAAATAAACAGAAATCCAGCAAAGAGTTCATCCTTTCAAAGTACTTGTTCTTTCCTCGCTCCAGGTTCTCACTCACATATGTCGGATTCCATCTCCTCTGGGAGATGCGGAGATATATATTTGTCCGATTCCAAGCTGAAATCTGAGAGTGAGGTTGATCTCTAGGTTAAATCTTGCCTCTGTATTTAACCGCTAGAAGGAGGGTAATTCGGACGTGGTGCAGTGCATGCCGGCTGGCAGCGGCGTAGAGCGTTGGTCGCCAGTAATGCGGGAGAGCTGGGTTCGATTCCCAGCGTCCGAACTATGGTATATTGCAACTAGTTGTCTTTTTTACACAAAAAAAACCCAGCAAATTGACAATCAGTTCAACCTTGTCGATCCTTTCAAAGTAATTCTTGCTAAGTATTCACACTCGAGCAATTATCTCATGGCCATATTTCGGGATTCTATCCTCGCCGGCCGAGGAGACATATTAAATTTGTCCAAGCTGAGAGTCCGCTCTTCGCGGGCCTAAATATTACCTGTGTATTCAAGCAGAGGGCACCTCAGATGTGGTGCATGGGGCACGCCCGCTTGCAATAATGCTTCTTGAAGGTAAAGCGGGAGACCTGGGTTCAATTCCCGGTGTCTGAATCCCACATAATTTCTTTTTTCTCCTGAAAAGGGAAAGAAACAGTCAGTTCAAAGTCCTTATTTGTTCATTCCTTGCCAGTTTCTCCTCCCACATTTCGGAATTCCATTCCGCTAGAGAGTGGGGAAATATTAATTTGTCCAAGTCAAAATCTGAGTGAGGTTGATGTTGCCTGTATATCCAACCACGAAAGGGAGAAGATAATTCGGATGTGGTGCACGGCGCACGCCAGCTCACGCTGAAAAGCAATCTCTGGTAATAAGCAAGAGGCCTGGGTTCGTTTCCCGGCGTTCGAAATAATGTTCCCAGAACACCTTTTTTTCGAGAAAAACTAGCAATCGGTTCGAATCGTCCATCCTTTCATGCACCACATCCGAGGTACCCTCTCCCGTTCGTGCGTGAATACACAGATGATATTTAAGCTTGTTAACTCTGGGCTAGGACAAAAATGTCTTCCGACATATGGGAGTCAGAGAAGCGAGGAATGAATAAGTGAAGATTCCGAGTCGTCAACCGCTGCGCCGACCCGACGCAGCGAACCATTTTTGCCCGGTTGTGAGCGGCTGTGAGCGCGTGCGACTCCCCATCAGAATTGCCGAGAAGTTAAGATTTCCCACATGGCGACATATTATTTTCCCGGTTTTGGTGATGTTGATGCGATCTCATCTCGGAATCCCCAGCACGTCATGTCTTTATTACTTCTCGCTTGATACCACGGTCTGACAGCAGCCACTATACAGCTTTGACTCCCGAGAAAGGAAGGTAGGATGTGACAGGAATCATTGGACGCAAGTGCCCGTTCTTTCTCTCAAGCTGCCCCCACCCTGCGATGCTCTTGCTCTTGCTTCTGGTCCACCTCTCTAGCAACTCTATCTCCGGGCATAGAAATGCGCTCGACGCACGAGCGTCAGAGCCTGATTCCTGCGACGATATCAACCACTGCCGCAGGCTGTTCGACATCGTCTGGGGATGTGCTACCACCATCTTTGCCTGTACCTGGGTCTCGGTACATCCCAACATACCGCCCTCAAACCAGACCCGGCTGTCTCTCTTCGGGCGCAGGCTGCGGCTGATGCTCTTCGCCATGATTGCTCCGGAACTGATGGTGGGTTTCGCCGCCAGACAGTTTCTTGTTGCACGGGAATTTTCAAAAGGTCAGAAAGTCTTGCTTTCTTGCACGGAATGGACGCTCATCCTATGTAGATTTCAACGTCTCAAAAACACATGGATTCTTTTTCAGCATGGGTGGTTTCGTCTCGCAGGACAGACGTCATCATATTGCACGTCTTAGAGACTTCGAAGGCCGCCTCGGCCGTGAGTATATTTTAGCGATTCAAAATGTTGACGAGGAGGATATTATGGACAAGAGTAAGGGTGATGTGCTGTCGAAGGGCGTGGCGCTGGCCCAGGGCCTCTGGTTCACTGCACAGTGGCTGGCGCGCGTCGTCCAACACCTTCCCGTGACGGAACTCGAGGTAGCGACCATGGCATTTGCAGTCGTAAATGTCTTCATCTGGATTCTGTGGTGGGGTAAACCACTTGATGTTCAGCGGCCTATCCCCGTCGGACCTGCGGTAGACCCGCGGGTGGATTCACCTGAAACTTACATCACTGTGTCGATTCTATGGACTGTCTTGAACAAAGTCCGCAGCGCATTGACTGGCACTTACGGCGGCACACGTTACCCAATGAAATCGATCCCAGCATTCTGGTCCGTGGAAAACTCGGAGGGAATCTGGAGATCCAGTCGCAACATCGCTCTAGCCGTCGAGTGCCTCACAGGCACCATTTTCGGTGCCATCCACTGCGCTGCATGGACAGCAGCCTTTCCTTCTCCCGCTGAAATGTGGTTATGGAGGTCCAGTTCCTTAGCAATTGTTGCTATTCCGGTTGTCCTTGGCCTTCTGGCTAGTTTGCAATTCTTGAACTGTAGAATTAATTTCTACGATATCTTGAACTACACACTTAAATCTACGCTACCCATCTACATTCTCTCGCGCCTTATCCTCCTCACCCTACCATTTACCACCTTGCGCGCCCTCCCTACAGGCTCGTTCGTGGACGTGGACTGGACCGTCTACATCCCACACCTTTAGTCTTCTAGATATGCTCTCTGTACTGGATGGTTCGATTTATGGCCGCGGTGCCAAGTTGAAGAGAAGGTCTGATATCCGGGTATCTGCGTCACCGGAATTGTGTGAGGGGAGGTGTCGTTTTCGTTAACCAAGTTCCAGCGCCCTGAGCGAGCGACAAAAAAGAGTATTCAAGGCTGTGAAAAATCAGTAAGATGAGCCTTTCACGCGATGTCACTGCTTTGAGATTCCCTTCCATCTCGCTCCACACAGAGGTGTGGGGAAAGTCCTGGGATGAAAGTGTTTACACCGGACTCTGTCAGTTTTATCAGGCCAAAGGCTTCGATCCAGACACCCAGGATGTCGCTCACCATCTTGGGGACCCAATTTATCAATTGTTGAGTGAGATGGATGTCCCTTTCGCACATGGTAAGTCGACCATCCTTAGGCAAAACATTCTGGTCGATAATAGTAATTTACACAAATGGAGGACGAGGATTCTTATTCAGACGAGAACGATCAGGACCCATTTGGTATGGAAAATACGCGCAGCTCAGCTTGGGAGGATGGTTGATCCAATGCATTACTGGGTCCGAATTAGCTGATGATCACATTTCCACATAACACACTCCAAACGCCGGCCTCGCGGCACATAATTCGATTCCAAGAAATCCCAGATGTCCTTCTAGTCGAGAGAACTGATGGATGGGGAGCGATCCGATTGCGCTGATTCGGTGGTGTCAATAAGAATTTTGTTTCTCAGTGGCATAATGGCAAGATTCGATGATCTGGAACACAGAAGGCACCTTCCCAAATTGACACTCTGTAGTGAAGGCGGCAAGACTCGAGAAAGTGACAGAGCTGTGTGTGGAGGCAGAGACGATGACGGGAGAGAGAAAGAGGCGTGAAGTCACAAAGTCACGGTGAAATCCAAACAATAGCGTCGTTCAAAGTTATCATTTTGGTCTCATTTTTGGTCTCATTTTCGTTTTCATTTTCCAAAGAGGAAGATAAGGAGGAAGCACGAAAATGAGCACGAAAAGGAGGCCAAAAATGAAGTTGAGAACCCATTTTACACAAAAAAATGCTCATTTTCGTTCTCATTTTCGTGTTTTGGCTGAGGTTTCGAGTAGGAAAATGCTCATTTTAGCTTCCTGCTCGCAATTTTGGTTTCAAAGTTGCTCATTTTCAGGTCATTTTCAGCTTCATTTTCATTTTCCTTTTCGGCCGTTTTTGGCAATTTTGGCTGTAAAATGGCAAAAAGGAGAGCAAAAATGAGAACGAAAATGAAACCAAATTTGAACGACACTAATAACGAACAATGCCCCATATGGTTTGAACAAAGAAGTTTTGCATTTTTCGCCCTTGGATTCCCTTTTACACTAATACCTCTCTGGGAACGGCAACGCGGCACAAACGGCACAACTGCGGCAGCCTGTCACACTTCAAGTAGACAAGGAAACAGCGTAGAAAGCCAGGAAAGACAATATTCATGGAAATTGAACAAGTGAAATTGGCATACAGTAGCTGCTACAAAGGGAGAGTGTAATACATAGGAATTAAAAAATGGGTGGCAAAGCTTCCTTGCCATCATGACAACTAACGGCACGATGTGGAAGTGCGACTCGACCTTCTCGTCGCCTTCGCGTCTCGGACCGGTTGCACGCGCCAACCAAACTCGGCAACACAACGCGCCAAGTTTTTGTTTTATTGTTCCACCCCGTCCTTCTATCACATTTTATTACTAAACACAATTTTTCCACCTTCTTTCTCGCAAATTTAGCCGGCAGCCGCACATCCAAAGTTCCACATATTCCAATACCACGTCAAGTTCAACGTTATTTCGAGATATATTTCCAGACCACACACAAGATACCTTTATTGAGCTTTTCTACATCTCTACACATTCTTACACTTATCTACTTTGATTCCACACAGACATTTCACTTTTATTCTCTACGTACCGCCAACGCGACAAGTGAATCCAAGTTCTCGGGCATCTCGGACTACGCTGGGGATTGATTCGAAGTGGAATGGGCACCCACATTCAGCGCTGAGCGGGGCAGCATATATCTCCCTATCACGTCTTTGCGTAGTTCCTGGATTGCTGGGATTGGGTTGACTTTAGCAGCGGCTTTTCATCCATGGACTCTATTACATACAGGATTTTGACTCATCGTATTTACTTGTTTGCACCGGACCTATAACGGCATCTTCCTCCTTTGTCTCTTACCGCCACGTCAATCTACACATTCATTCGGATTTCTTGCGTTAGACTCCAGAGATTCATCGCAAACTGAGCTGAGTATTTCTTTACTTTGTTTTACTGATCATCTTTTATCTAGGGCTCTTGTTGTGATTGCGCGAGCGGGGATAGTCGCTGCACGACTCGGCGCCCATACCGGCACGACCTGGACACACCCTCTGTCTACCTACGGACAGCCCTTTTCTTCGACAGTGGAGCCCACCGCGAGGGATGTCGGTTTTCCGTTGCCGGTGTACCCAGCTGAGTCTTTCATCCTTTTAATTACCATTCCCCGAGTCTTCGAGTTCCACATGCGCGTATTCTCTTGAGCATGGCGTCCATCTATCTTCCCACTCCATATCCCTCTTCGATCCCACACAATACTCCTTCCATGATACGCCTCCTCGTTCCCATGCCCATCCCACGCACGCCAAATGCTCCCTACTTTGATGAGCGCGGTGTTCGTGGTTTTCTTGCTCTAATTCTTCAACATGGTTCCAACGCAGGCATTACCAACGCTGACGAGCTCGTTTCATTCATAGTTCGTTATTCCTCCGACCGAGTTCGCGAAGTTATTCAATACATCCCCGAGCTCGATGATGACACTCCGAATCGTACTTGGACCGCAGCGCGCGAGCAGATGCTTCTTCTGTACGGATCGTCGGATGAGGACCGCCGCCCATGG